GTCATTAGGAGGAAAAAGAGGGGCAACAGGCCGTGCTGGCCAAAAGCTGCATTTTGTGAATGCAGCTGTTTTCAGAACGGGTAACCTTGCTAAGCTAACAGACTAGATTCTTCCTCTTTAACTGCCATCACCTTATGTTCCTTGTCAAGCAACAGTCAACAACAATATTGTCCAACCATCTTGCTGAATCAAAGTCCTTCTGCAGAACTGATAAAACCCATACCATTTCAGTAGATCTTTCTCCCCATCTTTTTAAATTCCTCTCTCTCATACAGATCTTCTGCGAAGTCTTGCAAAAGAAACATGTGTATGTGTGAGGGGTGGTGGCAGTGATAGATTAAATCAAAACCTTAACACCAGTGAACAGACGAACCTTACTGTAGTAGCTGCCTGTTATTTAGAGCGGAACCTCTCTGAAGAGCCTCCTTCGAGCCAGCATCTGGTACAGAATTAGTATTCTTCCCTCTAGGTGTTGTACTCTCCTCTCCTATGCCTTTCTGTGCTCAGTAAATAGTAAGATATGTGGTCCTTTTAAATCACAGTATTTTGTCTCCTGAAAGCCCTGTGTATTAAGCAATATTCTGCACTGGTTTCTAAGGGCACCAGCAATGAATATGGAACAAAACACTTGTGCGACCACGCAAATCTGGACTGCACACACATGCCACACAGGGCCCAGATGTGATGCATCTTTTTTAGTACAGATTGTGCGTAGAGGCTGTTTACCCCCAAGGCCAGAGATGGGAGTATCTGCAACTTGATGTAACAACACTGATCTGCTTTTGGACACTAATTTGAGGTCTACGAGCAAGGACCTGCTAAAGCAAGCTGATTGCTACTGGTACAAGCAGTAATCCAAGAGGTTTTGGGAGAGCATGCATCCCCTGCTGGAAGTTCCCTTTTTGCACAACCTTAAGTGAGTCAATATATTCTCCAGCACGTTTCACAAGGAGGAACAGAAGGTGGCAGGAATGGTTTGGCAGTAGCCAAAACAGAGCAGTTATGCCCCGTTTTGCTCCTATACCGTCTTCAGGTGACTCAGAGGTTGCAGCGACAGCACTGTTACGTGCTCCTCACAGCGCGCTCTCTACTCTGCACACACACCGTTCCTATTACAGCTCTTAACCCCCCTCAGGCTGTTGTCTACACTTAGCCCATAAGGCTGAGGCAATCACTCACCTGCCGTTCTTGGTCACGATCATCTCGTTAGTGACTTCCCTGAATCTCTGCCAGAGTGTAGCATCCTCCAAGACAACCTGGAGCTGTTTCTCAGTGGGGTCGCCTTTGTCTCTCCCAGCCCGGAGCTCGCTCTCCACGACACTGAGTAGCCTGGAGACGGTGCAGTCGCTGGACTTTTTGCAGCCCAGGTCTGTCATGACGACTTTACTGCCAAAAACTTCAGGTAGCTGTTAAAAGACAAAAATTCTAAGCTAAATCTACACACAGATCAGTTCTTTGGGCACAGTCTGACAAATGTGCTCTCCTCGCTCTTTTCCCACTGACTAGCTCTTTCCCCTGGAAGTCCCAATGGGCAGTGACACCAGCGTGTGGAGGTTTACGCACACACTCCACACAAAAAGAGGACTATCTCCTAATTACCTGTCAGACGGTCAGGTGGGTGGCAGGCTGATGACTCAATTGGCTGCCTTGAAAGAAGAGTCCTCCATCCAAATTAGCATGCTTTTATCTTTTTTCAACCTGAAGTGGGTCTAATTGTTCTGCTTGAGAACCAGGTTTCCATTAATGAAAATTGTTTCATTTCCAGACTGAAACAATGCATGGAAATTGCATTCACGCTGGTGCGGACTCTAGCTGAAGGAGCTGGTAACAGTCAAGATTGTTACACAGAGAAAAAAAAAGTCTTAAAATATTTTCATCAGGCATGTTGAATACATGCATTAACCTTTTCCCTCTACATTCCTAAAATCAAAGTGTAATAGTAAGAGATCCTTCTGCAACAAGGTTCCAATGCACAAGAAGCAGGTAGCGTCCCTACACTGCTGTTGATGCCTCCTGCGTCCACTCCTTGGCTACCACCGATGTTTGCAGAACCTCTACTGTGTCCTATGAGCGCCTGAACTCCCCTACAGCTGCATTTTCAGACTGGACCCCACGATTCTGAGGCTGGATGCGAGCATAACTGGCATTGTACACCTGCTCAGCACCTATTTCATGCAAAAGCTCCCTCAAGAACCCTAAAATAGGCAATCCTTCTCCTCAGGCAGGGAGGCCTTCTCTGATGAGCCTGATCTAACAGTACATACATGCCCCTCAGGGCAGCCATGCAGGGTTTCCCCTTTTTACCCTGAAGACTACCAATCTCAGCACTTCACAGGTAACTTAAGACCTGGGTTCAGTTCTATGCTAAAGGGTTAAATGAGAGCCATGGAAATACTAATGACCCCTAAACACTGGGCTTTGGCATACAGTAAAGCATTTAAGCGCCTAGTTTCTCCCAGTGCATCTAGCCCTGACAGTACCCGTGAAGTTTCTGGTCTGTTGGACATGACATAATCAGACGTGATTACAAAAAAACATATTGTTGAAATTTGATCGCAGAAATGTATTTTCTAGTTACCCATTGCAAACTTAACATTTGTTTAATTGAACATCCCCTGTTGAACTCTTATATTTGCATTCTTTCTAAAAGATGAAAGGATTTACTTTTTGGGGCCTACTACTGACAATACATTCACCACTGTGGATCACTGATGTACTTTATGAACACAGGAAATGGTCTGACAAACTTTGTAAAAATGATTTATTTCATTAAATCCTGTTTTACAAGGCTCAACAACTGTTGCAGTTCAAAAACCCAAGAGGTACCATCCACCTAAGCAGCAAGGGCCAGAGCTTGTGGATCCTATGTATTGTATGTACTCCCTCAAACCCTAGAGGGAGTAAAGATACTGGCTCCAAGCCCTCAGCACAGCACAGCTCCATGTGTGGAGAAATTTGATGTTCTGCAAAATAGGACAGACTTGTTCACCTTAGGAGAGAACCTTCACTTCCCAGCAATCTCAACACCATAAGAGGAGGCAAGTCAGAAAGGTCTGAGGTGTTTTCCGTCTCTGAGGAACCCCAGTCCTGCTAATTTAAAACTTCACACTCCAAAGTATCTTCCTTCTGTCTGTTCTCTTCAGCCTTTATGTACCTTGTTTTAATTGTCCACTCATAACAAAATTACCAAGATTATCTTGTCGGTCAGGTCACCTCATGAGTTACGCTAGCAAGCATCAAATAACAATTTCTAGTTACTATCCAGCCCACTTTCAGTGCTGAACAGCTGAAGCATGTATGTTAAAATCTATAGGATATTTAGATACTTTGAAGTGTGCCACTTAGCATTTGGAAAAATAATTGCATGACAGATTATAGGTTTTTGTAACATGGATTAGGCATAGCTTGCTGTTTGGGCTCTCCTTTTCAGCTGTTCCAAAAAAAGAAGTGCTACAACTGTCATTGTTCCCTGCATGTGCTGCACGAGATCAAATGGCATAGCGATCACGTAAGAGATTATGCGAAACGGATTTTAGCCTTATTATATTCAAATGTAAATAAATGCAGAAATCAAAGCTGGCTGAAATACTGTGGGAGATTTTAGTTTTTCTGACAGCTCTAAAAAAAAAAAGTCAGTTTCTTGTTATTTTTGGATTTCTTTTTTAGTTGAAGCTCTATTTCCATACAATTTTTCTTTTTTTTTCTTTTTTCTTTTTTTTTAAGGGATTAGTTGCTCAGAAATTAGGAGATTCACAGTTGAGGCAAGTGCAGTGACAAGAGCTTACAAAAGTAGTAATGTTTCAGCAGCTACACAGTTCTTTTTACAGATAAAAAGGAAAGCTTTTCCCCATGGTTTTCAGCCATGCTGACTGCCGACCTCTCCCACTGTCTTCAAGTGGTGTGATAACAGTTTAGGCCCTCAGAAAAAACAAAGAAAAAATCAGATCCAACCTACCCTCTTCAAGATGCTTAGAGTAAGGAAAACTGAAAGCATGCACAAAAATAACAGTTCACACTGGTGGAAAGGTTTCAAAGTGAGGAGGAAGTGAAATTGTGTCTCATTTAAAGAAGCTGGGGAATTGCTAGAGGCAAAGAACTTGCCCAGCTAAGATGGACTGGAAAGAGAAACAGCCACAAGGCAAAGAAAGAAAAGGAGATGCAGACCAGAGTGCATTACTTGCCTGAAGCACAGGCTAAGAAATACACTCCTGGGACAGGCCTATGGAGAAGAAAGGTTACACAACCATAGGATGGGTAATGGACCCACTCTAGTGATGGACTACTAAAGAAATTTTACATCAGCAACACCACATTTTTATAGTCTTCCTCCTAGGGGAGAAGCATGAAGGCTTTTTCTTTGAACCACTGTATTAAAATTTGCATCCCACATCATAATAAAATGCATTTTGAGATACTAAAAAAAAAGTTATATTTGGGTGCTTACACCTATCACTTAAACAAGATGCCTGATGCTTGACAATCTTGTCCCAGAGAAAAGCACTCCAGTTTCTTAAAATACCTGACTTTCATATAGTATGAACCTTAATTTCATAATTACATTACTATAACTCATGATGCCTGCAACCTCAACATTTTCTAGAGTGAGAGTAATTAGTTACCTGTGGCTGGCTTATGGGGATAGCTGTTATGCTGTGGAAACAGGTGTTTCAGCTGTGAGCATTCAAACTCTAAGAGCAATTGGTGATGCATGTAGCAACACATTCATATTCAAAATGCACAGCTCAACACTGACATATCTTTCCACAGTAGAAGAGTTAAGCAAAGAAATAACAAGTTTACATGCCTTAAAAAGGATCAGCTGAACATGATCAATAGAGAATGTGCTCTACTTTATCACATCACTGCCACGGGAAACCAAGTGAATAGGCTCATAGCCAGAGTAATTTGCTGCTTATTAACTTTCTAAAAAAACATTGAGGGTGTAAATCTGTACTTTGAATATTTAGCCTGTTTTAGGAAAAGTAAAATACATCCTTTAATCTTGCGTCTCTTTGTTCACCTGAAATAACATCCAATACTTTCCAAACATCCCTTTTCCATTCTACCTTCTTGCAAGATGAAGTTTTCTGAGTCTACAAATCCTGAAACCGAGGCACAAACAGATTAACATCCCTGGATGCAGGTATTCCTGGGACACTGAGAGTGACTTGTTCTCAGATGGGTTATTTCTGGGCAGGAAGTTAAAATTCCTTGAGCTTAACTTGAAGGAAAAGGTACCTGCACTTACCACATACTGTAGTAATATGGTGATCGACAATCATTGATGCTGAAACTGAGACAGAGCATGGATGAATGACAGAAGACTACTGCCCCTCTCATACGTGGTTTCTGTATCTGTTTAATTAAACAGGCCAATCAGTAGGGGCCTCTGATGAAGTAGAAAATGTTCATATGAAACATGCAACGTTTTACCTTTCCTTGAAACCCCAGCTGGGAGAACTGGGCAGTTCCAACCAGGAAGCAGACACCATGTGGCTTGCAGCCCGTCAGAACTAACCACTGCAAATCAAAATGCAAGTATAACACTCATAACCACCTCCAACCATGTCCAGGACTTACCAATAAGAATTCAACAACTCCTATTTTTAAATGAAATAAAAGATGTCTAGGGAGAGCTGCAAAAGAACCATCTTCCAACATTTACTGAAGATTATTCACTAAGTTCCAGCATGGAAAAAGCAGGACATCATTTAATTAAACTCATTCTAAAACCCTTTTTGGTGAACAGCTGGTGAGATACAGCAGTAAAAAAGGTAATTAAAGAAGCCTTCCTTGCACCTGACATTGGATAGCTTTTTTTTTTTTTTTTGGCCTTTAGACCCATGCTTCCAAATGAAAGTCAGCTCTTCATGATCAGATGAAATCCCAAAAACAAGACTCTCTCTTTCCATCTCCAAAGCTTCTACTGAAGCTTTCAAAAAGTAACCCCTGGTGAACATTCAGTCCCAACAACAGGGAAATGTAACCTCAATCACCATGACACTCTGAGGAAATCAACACCTATCAACTACCAAGGAATAATTAAGAGAGGATAAAAAGACAGCTGCTTTCCTGGTGTTTTTTAATCATGGATCCAGCCCTTTAAGAGATTGCTAGGTTATAAGAGACTTAGAGAAGATTAGTTTTTTCATTAACATTTGGGGCAAGGTGGGGGGAAGAAGGCAGTGTCAATGCAATTCCAACCAGGTATGTTTTTAGCGGTTATGCAGGCAGCCTGTTCAATTATAACACCAGGCAGGGAGATAATTCTTGAGATCAGCTCAGAGAGCATGGAAAGTTTTCCAGAGAAAGCTTTTTTCATTTTTAAAAGAAAAGTCTGTCCCCCTGTCAAATCCTGATCTAGCTTGGCTGGTGATAAATATAAAAGTATCTTTAGAAAGCAATAGTTTTCCCTATTTCACTCTTCCAACTTGATTTTCAGTACTGTCTCCAACCAGGCATTACCCCATAGAGCAAGTAACTATTACCTTTTTAAGCTCAAAACAAAACAAAACAAAAAACCCCACACCCAGAATATCAGAGAGATTCTAAACATACTTTACGTTCTTCTTACAAGAACTCAGAGCAAGACTTGGAGGTGTGAGCCAAAGCTTTTAGATAACTATGCAAAATAACTCAGTCTAAGTATTTGACTTCAAGAAGTATGAGCC